CGATTTTGAGGCCGATGTGGACGCGGCTGCCCAGGCTGCACCTGTGGCGGCGCCTGACCTGGAGGACATTGCAGCGGCGCTGGCAGAAGGCGGCGGCGCTGGCGATGCGTCTGCGGCGGAGGACGAGGCTGAGGACGCGGCGCTCGGCGTGTTTGACCACCTCGCCTTTGATTTCGAGGCCGACTTGGACGCGGCCGCCGCCGAGGCCGAGGTTGAGGCGGCGCCAGACGCGGGGGAGGCCGCGCTGGCCGCCGCCGCCACCGCGGCGGAGGCGGACGCCGCGCTGCTGCTGCGCTCCACGTCGCCGCTGCTGGTGCAGGACGGCGCCGCCCTGGTCGATGAGGAGCCCGACGGCGCGCTGCGCGCGTTTGACCACATCGCCTTTGACTTTGACCTGCAGCGCGCGTCCGCCGCGCAGTTTGCGCGCGCCGCCGAGCCTCCGCTGCTGGCGCCCAGCGCCGCCGCCGCGCTCGCCGAGGCCGCGCCGATCGTGCTGCAGGACGAGGCTCCGGACGTCGCCCTCGCGTCGTTTGACCACGCCCACTTCACGCCTCCCCGCGCGGCCGCCGAGGCCGAGGCGCCCGCGGCGGTTGCCGCGCCGCGGTCTGCGGACCTGGGCGCTCCGGTCGGCGGCGCCCAGCGGCAGCAGCAGCAGGCGGACGTCCTGGTGCAGTTTGGCGAGTGGCTGAAGGAGGTGGTGGCCGCTTTTGAGGAGTGGCAGCGCAGCCTCGGCAAGTGAGGTGCGCCCGATGCACTCAGGAAGTCCCTGCCTCAAAGCGCTTGCGAGCCACGGGCACATTGTCAGGCCGTGCTTGCATCGGCCAGGAGGCGAGCCGCTGCTGCAGCTCGGTGGTGACCCGTCAATCGGTGCCCGTGCTATATCTGGCGGCGCGGTGGGCAGCACAGGCGCTTGTCTAACCCTAAACGTGGCTGGTGATCAGGCTGTATCTTTTGCGTTCAAGAGGTGTCGATCCTGTCAACGTGGCGGAGCGTGCTTTCCTGCGTGAAGGGGCCCTCATGGTTCCTGCTGTGCCCCAGCTCAGCGCAGCCATGCTTGCGGGCGAACCACCAGCCTTGCCAAGCCTTTGCTCTCATCTCGAAAAGCCACAGATGCCTGCTGCGAGGCTCCTCTTTCCACGCGCCCGTCCCCATGGCGCAGCTGCAGCCTGCCATTTGGAGAGCGCCCACAACGCTTGTGGGTGCCGGCAACACATGTGCATGCCGGTGTGTGCGCCCTGTCACGTCCGATTGAATCCTTTGCAATAAGTGCGTCCATGCGTTTGCCCCGATTTGGTGGGGGCCCGTTTTGCTCAGCGCCCGGCCCCTTTTTGCACCACAGCGGACGCGGCGGCTGCCAGGTATAGATTTGGAAGGCGGGTTGCAAGGTCAGAGCCCCAGGGCTGCACCTTGTGAGGGCGCTTGGGGCGCCCATGGGCCTGCGCCATGCCTCCTTGCGGAAACGCTGCCACTGCACAACCTCCAACCACTGCAGCTCAGTGACGAACTGACGATGGCGATGCTACGAAAGCCGCATATCAAAGCTTATGCTGCTGGCATTCGTGGTCATTTCACGAACGTCGGCAATCGTGTAAACAATTTGGAAGCCGAGGTGTCCAATGATACCATCAATCAAGGGGTCAAAGTGGTCGCCTGCCTTTTCGAAGGACAGGTGTCATGCCTGGTTGACTGAAGACAATTCATTTTGAGTACCATGTTGTGCTTGTTCGTCCGTGCCACCATCATGGTTTGTTGTCTGGAGGCACACACCCATGACACGTACCGCATGATCTGGGCAACAGCCCTGTGAGGGCTGATCTGGTCAACCCTCGGCCTGGCCCACTCAGTTGTGCAAGAAGGAACCCCAAGCAGGCGTACAAGCAAGATGAGATGACACGTTACGCCTGCAGGCTGATATCAAGGTGGCTTTCATGCTTGCAAGACACCCAAGGCGAGTCGGTGGCCTTGCAGTATGGGGGAGGAGTGGAGTGGTGGCAGGTGGTACAGAAATGCGTGGCTAATTGAGTAGCACAGGCGCTGTACGCCATGCAATGACACCCCTTATTAGGGACTATACCTCCTTGATTAAACCTGTGGACGAGTGAGGTTTTATCTTCGAAGATTTAGCCGGTCAAACCCGTCGACTGACCGTCGTGAAGCACACGCGAAGCAAACAATGCGTTCATTTATTCGAAGCATCAAAATAACATTTCATTACCGATTTATCCCAAATTTCCCTTACATTGTTGAGCGACAACAGCGATCCAAAACCGCGTGGGAGCCACATTGCGAGCCCTTGAGGCCAGTTCAAGGCAATGAAGGACAAGGGGCTATTCTGGCTGGGCGAAGGACCCGGCAAGCCGCTTCCTGTACCCCACCCCACTGTGCCGGGGGCAAAGCTGCGCCCTGACGGCTTCAAAATGTTCTCCAGCCTCAAGCCATATGGTCTGAAGGACAAGATGGAGGAGTGAGAGCCTCGGATTGGTGCCGTTCAGGCCTCCCACCAGTGCCTGTGTAAAGTTGCAGCTGACACTTGCGCCATGGTGCTTTCAACTTACGCTGACAAAAGCTTGTCTTCCCTCGTGCATGCATTGCTTGTGATGAACCCACCCTCGGATGCCTGCAACCCAAACTACTGGTGGCCCCTGATCAACCGGCAGGTTCAAGGTGGATGACTGGGTTCTCGTCAACAGGCCGGACGCCAGCAACTACCTGCAATCACAGGACGAGGGGGAGTGCAGGTGTGCTTGCGCACCTCACCAGCCTTTGAGCTCGCTTTGCTGTCTCTGTGCCTTGTGTGAATGCTCAAGAATATCGCTACTTCCCTGTATCTTTCTTCCCCTTCCCAGCCCATCCCTCGCCTCAACCCCCCAACACACACACGCACATACACACACACCGACACGCACCGACGTACGCGGGCACGCACGCACGCACGCACGCACGCACACATGCACACACGCGCGCACGCGCGCACACACACGAACGCACACTCACTCTTACCACCAGGGCTCCATGGATTGCACAGATCAAGGAGATCTACCAGGACAAAAGCACTTGTCAGGTGACCAACTCTGGTTGCTGCTGTTGTGTTGATAAGATGCAGGATTTCAAACACACTTGAAGTTATCAAAAACGCGTACTTGGCGCCCGTTGAGTCGGTAGTTCTTGAACCTGCATGGGGTGGCTGATATCTGGCGTGAGTGGCCTGGATCTTTGTATTGTCTTGTCCAGCCTTGTGCAAGCGGGGTCAAGAACAATTTTCACCAGGCCCTTCATAATCAAGATTCCTGCATTTGCGCGACTGCGTCACGCAGGTCGTGCTGCGATACGCGTGGCGCTGGGCCAACATTTTCGCCGGCGCGGAGCTGCTTCCAGGACAACGCAGCCGCTGGTGATCCTGCTGGTTGGGCTTGTGCCATGTGTGTGCCTTGCCAGCGCCGCCCGCAAAATGGCAACACCACACCCACAGCTAGGCGTGTGCGTTGCTGAGGCGGCGTGCTGTCTTGGTGGCCTTGCTCCACTTATGCGATGCTAACTCTCCCTCCGTTCGCAACGCCTGCACAGGCCCACCTCCCAGCTCTTTCCTGAGGTTGCTGGGCGCCACACAGTGCACTGCAGCGCGCTGCTGGGCCGCACCAACGTGGTTCAGTACAGCCAAGTGGTTGAGGAGTGAGTGTTGGCATGATTGCACGTGCTTGGAATCACGAGAACCAGCGTCACGCTCTTGTGTGTCGTTCACGCGTCTGGGCAGCGCCATGAGTATTGATCCATAGAACCCAACAGCCAGCTGTACCCCGTTCGTCCCTGTCATCCTACAAATAGGTTCGCCAGGAGCAAGGGCGTAGGTAGCATGGAGGATGCCTTGGACGAGATTGAGTTGTACAACGAGGACACACTCACGCTGCCGGCACGCAACTCAGAACAGCAGCAGCCCGCCAGTGGCACGAGGGCCCGCGGCTCAAACTTCTTTTACCGTTACGAGCTCGACAGCGCCTGCCTCACCTTCACTGCGGCGGGCCAGGACGGCGGCAGCTGCAAGAGGGTGGAGAAGGTGGAGTGGCCGGGACGGGCAGCATTGCAGCTGGCTGTTGGTACCCCGAAGTTCGGGTGCAACACCTGTGTGCGTCGGCAGGCGCCTGCTTGCTTGCATACCCTACGCTCGTGTACACGTACATGGCAACAAGTATCGCAGCCTGCCAGCCTTTCAGGCCTCCCTGGCATTGGACACAGTTTCAATCAACCTGATCCAACCATTGCCACGCACCTGGATTTCCCCTGCACCAGGACTCCCTGACCATGGGCGACCTGTACGCAGGGATGGGAACCATGTCGCTTGCGGCGCGCCACGTAAGTGGTCAGGGCTGGGAGCGGGTGCAGGAATGTCGAAGGGCGGCGGGGCTGTTTCTAGATGCATAGCTGCCTGGTCTCAGCCATAATCTGTTAGTAATCAGCCCAGCCAGCCGCAATCAAGCTTGGCATCACTTTGTGTGCACGTACGTGCGTTGCAATGTCCATCCACAGTGCGGCTTCAGCGTGCTCTTTGGAGTGGAGGATGACGCGGCCGCGCGCACCTCGTACCACCTCAACACAAGCCCTGCCAGCTTCAACCCGCTGCCGGCGGCGGCCGGCGGGGAGCCGGTGGTCTGCAAGACCTATCCAACCACAGTGAGTCCCTCAGAACTACTAAATGCCAAACGGTGCAGTTCGCTTTGGCTGTCTGTCGCGTCGTCCTGGTGTTTGCAGAACCCTCTACTTGGCCTGCTGTTGGCCAGATCCACCCTTGATGATGACTCTTCACGAGGCTTCTGATGTCACCCTTGCATATATGTTTATCCTCACAAGGTCGAGGGCTTCAACCAGCTCCTGGGCGAGGGTCATGCCCAGCTACAAGGCCACTTGGGCGGCTGCGTCACAGTCCTGCACGCTACTCCGCCCAGCCTCAAGCTGTCCAGTGCGGGCACTCGGGCTAGGGGCATCAGACAGGGTTTTGGGTGCGTGTCCCCAAGGCCGGATGGCTGGCCATTTGGCTCGATCGGCTTGCCAGCACGGAGCGAGGTGACCTTGTCAGACTTTTTCCTTGTGTTGTTGCTTTTCACTTGCGTGTATGATGCTCACCCAGCTTGCTGAGTCGGCATGCCCCAACACCCCAAACTCAGGGCCACCATGGAGACTATTAAGCTGATCAAGCCCCCATTCGTCACAGTGGAGGGTGAGCACTGGGGGCTGCGCGCACAACCTGGGCTCACTCTATCGCCTGCTCATGCGCATGATGACACGACGCCGATCCTCCTGGGCTTGACTATGTGTCCCCCGAAGCGCCCCCTCACACGCACTGACACGCACATTCATACGAGGGGCCTGTCCATGCAAGTTGAGTACCTGCCTCCCCCGCAAAAAAGCGCGCCACCACTTGCACTCGTGCGCTGCAGAGGTACCCGAATTCTATTCAGCTACCGGCGGGAAGGGGGCCGACGTGGCCGGGGAGCACGCTTGCCTGCACATGTTTGCGCAGCTGCTGGACGCCGGGTACCAGCTGCGGCCCACGCTGCTCAACACGCTCTACTACGGCCTGCCCCAGTCGCGTTGGGTGTGTGCGTGCGTAGCGCGTGGGTGCGGGTAGGGGTGCAGGCTCTTGACAGTTGGGCGCTCACACACAATTTTGCAATAATCCCTGTCCACCCACACAGACATGCACACTGATGCTTCCCTTCATTTGATTGGTCCATCTTGTAGCTTACCCTCATTTCGCACTGATCCAATGACTTGACTACTTCCTTCCATCCCACCCCTACCTGCAGTGTGCCATGCTGTTTGCGGCGCGGGACGGCTTTGAGCTGCCGGCTGCGCCAAAACCGCGCTACCGCACACCCGAAGCAGTGCCCATGAAGAGCTTGAAGCCCGGGCGCCTGCGTGTGCCTGGCGGCTGGGCACACGCCCTGCTGGTGGCCCCCAGCAGCACCCCAGGCAAGAGCAAGAAACAATACCGCGTTGCTCTGGTTCACCCTACTGTACTGCAAACCACCAGAACAACCGTACTCTGCTGCCCGCTCCATCCCTTTACTCACGTCTGCAGACAGCGTGTGCCTGCCACTGCACATCACAGCTGCCCAAGCCATGGGTGAGCCCATCTCGGCCTCAAAATGGGACAAGGTCCAGCAACTAACCCCTTCCACGGCTGTGGTCGATCATAGCAGGCCAGGGATTACTGCGCTTTGTATGCAAAGAGTTTTCACTGGGTTTGACCCACACCTCGTGGTGCGGGTTGGCCTGCTGCAAGGGATGCAGCGCGCTGACCAGCCAACCCAACTAGAACTCTTGGGTCCATGCGCACCCATTCTGGCATGCCAACAGGCGACCTACCGTCCCTGATGTCGGAGCTGCGTGCTGCTGCCAGTCAACCGAGGGGGGAGAAGTCGGGGCTTGTGCTGGTGCAGCCCTGTGATCCAAACTACAGCGCGTGTAACGGGCTACAGCCCTCCAAGCACAGCCCGGGCGGCGTCTCCGCCTACGCTACGTGGCTCGCCTCGCCAACACGCTACCCAGGCCAGAGGTGCGCGCTGCCGCAGCGTGCCTGATTGCCGCGTCTGCGCGCGCAGCGGGTGGGCGCCCCTTCTTTGTGTACAAGGCGGGAACGGGCCCACTGTCTGGGGCGTGTGCAGAGTCGGTAGTGCTGCCTGCTGTGAGTGCCGCGCCGCTTGCTGAGGCCGTGCCGCGTGTGCTGCGCATGGCATCCCCCTCGTAGGGCCGTCGAGGCGTTCCCCCTGGAGCGCCACATCATGGCCCCCGACAATGACGTCATCGAGGACACCTCAAACAGCGTGCTGCCGGACGGTGCGGGGTCCCCTGATCGGGCGCGCACATTGTCCTTGTGAACAGAGGGCCCGGCGCCAAGCAGGGAGTGGTGGAGCTGTTGGCACACATGCGTGCCTGAGGGTCCCTCGCTCGGGGCCTGCACTTCTTATGTACCTCGTACTTCCGAGGTAGTACTTTTGCCGCACCACTCACGCCAGCCCTGCCTGCCCTGCTTGCTGTCCTGACCCTCGTCGTCCTCCTCCTTGAACCCGGCAGGCTACTACCCCGCACTGATTGAGGCCAGTCACACCGGGCGCGCTGGGAAGGGTGCGTGCCTCAACCCGTTTGAGCCGCGCGTGACGACGCTGGAGGAGCGCTGCCGCCTGCAGGGCATCCCCACAGATATGTGAGCACAGTTATTTGTTGTACTCTCACAGTTTGATGGCGCCAGGTAGATTGCAGGCACGCAGGAACGTTGCGTTGCATTATATCAGGCTGACCCTCAGGTATACCTGGGTGTTACGTAACACCCAACGGTTGAAGCCTCAAGCAAGAGACAGCCTTCTCACAACCAAAACCCGCTCCACACATTGATCCGCGTTGCCAGGAGGATGACCGGCACTCTGTCTCAGATGGTGGCGCAAGTCGCCAACGCAGTGCCCCTGCCCCTGGGCATCGAGGTGTTCGCCAGCGTCTTCCACGCGGCCACGGGCGAGGCGCCGCTGGCGCTGGGCGACCCGCAGCATGGCTGGCAGGACGACCCGGAGCGCCGTGCGAGGGGGGCCGACGAGAACGCCGCCGGCGCGGTAGCGGACGCGCCGGCGGCGTCACGCGGCAGCCCAATGGACGCGACTGCTCCAGCAGTGGTGTTCTACGAAGGCGAGTCTGACGGTGATGAGGAGGCCGAGGTTCAGGAGAGGGAATCTGATCTCGTGCCAAAGGAGGGAGAGGAGGCTGGCAGAGGGGGGGAGGAAGGGCAGGACAGGGAGGAGGGACTTGCGCTCAAGCAAGAGCAGGAGGCAGGAGCATCACAAGCGCACTCCGGCGGCGACAAGTCATCACCAGCGGCGGCCAGCCAGCTGACGCCCGCGGCCATCTCTCCAAGGGTGGCCGGGGGCGCGCGCCAGCAGCAGGGGCAGGGGTCCGTCGCTTCTCCTGGGGCCGGAAGGCGTGCCCCAGGCACGCCGCGTGCGATCAGGGAGGGCATCCTGACGCCAGCCGTTGAGAGCTGGATCGAGTTCGGCCTTTCGTCCGTCACAGAGGTTGAGAAGAAGGCCGGTGGCCTGGGACTGAAGGTGAGCGCACAGGGGTGGCCCCAAAAAGGTGGGGATGTTGCACCGGCTTCTTGCGTGCCCTTGGTGCGTGGCTGGCTGGGTGGGCTCGACAGCTGCGTCAGCGGCGAAGTACACGCCGCCATGGTGCTGACCGTGCCATGCCTACTGCACGCACGCCACCCCCGCGGTTTGCAGAGCGTGACGTCCGTGATGGAGGAGGTTGAAGAGAAGCTGCTTGAGATGGGGGAGAGCCCGGACCTCTCGGGCGTGAGGACGAGGATCGAAGCCATGCTGGACAGCAGGCGCGGCCTCAAGAGGTCAATCAAAAGGACGGCCGAGAACGCTTGATGGCTGGGTGCGGGGTAGATGCGCCGCGGCGTCGGCCAGCGGCAGGGTCTGGCTGGCGGCCGGCAGCTGGTTGGATGATACTTGGCAGGGGGCGGGGCCAGCGAAACGGTTTGCATGCGTGCTTTGGTGGGGCACTTGGGTGGAGGCGACAGGCGAGGAGACGGTGGGTGGTGGTCATGATGATGACCAATGCTGGGTTTTGACATGTTGACGTGTGAAGGATGTCCGTGCTGTTTGACCTGATCTGCCTTCAGCAGGATCGATGCAATTCAACAATGTAGGTTTGGTGGGGGGTTTGGCCACACCCGCTTGCTCATTGGGGGCGTTACCCTGTTGGGGAGCCAGGGTTTTTCCCTCGCTGCTGGGAAGGTGTTATGTAATGGAATGTAATGTAGGTCTGGGGGAGATAGAGTCAGAGTGTGCTGCTCCCTGTTGGCTGGGGCTTTGTTGCGTGGCCATGCAAACGGGGAGTGTGAGCTTGTGAGATGGGTCAGCCCAAACATGCAACCTCGTCAAATGGGAGAGCTACATCTTCTGCAAACCAGGGCAGCCATCACAAGCGTAGTTAGGCATAAGGTGCTGCTGCTGCTGCTGCTGCTGCTGCTGCTGCTGCTGCTGCTGCTGCTGCTGCTGCTGCTGCTGCTGCTGCTGCTGCTGCAAACGCTGTGCACATGGCAGGTCCTGCAGGGTCTTGTGTTGGCCCTGTCCCTCTGTCTGGTCGCGCCTCTTGATGATGTTGATTCAATGTATACTTAAAGCCCCTGAAATGGTAGGTATTGTCGAGAGCAACGCCAGAAACACCACGACGGCAATACTTTGTGTCACGAGTTGACCCGCCGTCAGATCAAGCCTTGAGTGCAGAAGCTTTGCATTGATCAACATCCGAATTCAAACTCCATTACGCGATCCATAAGAGCGACGAACAATGATCACGGGGAAAACTGTGTGCGTGACAGGCTGCAGCAGCGCTGGCATTGGACTAGAGGTGCGGAAATAATGCTGTGACGCAAATTCTTTGCGCCTGGGCGCGAATGGCACCTGTTCGCGGCGGCAGCGAGCAGCTGCGTTTCGTTCATGCGCTCTGCGTGATGCAAATCCCTGGGCTGCCATTCAAGGCCAGAAGCTTGCAGGTAATGCAAGTGGCCCCAAATGGCTAAAACCTCGTGAAAACACTGCAACATGCATCCCACAACATTCCCCTTCACCCATCCCCTCCGCGACCCGTCAGTTCCTGAGGCAGTTGCTCGCCCCCGAGCGCCGCAACACATGCGTCGCCGCCGCGCGCCGCGTGTCGCCAGAGCTTAAGCAGTTGCAAGAAGCGCACCCCGGGCGGCTGGTGCTGACGCATGTGGATGTGGCCGACGAGTCATCTATTAGCGATTGGGCCAAGGGGCTCGCGGAGCAGGTTCGAGGTTGGATTGCGCTCACGACGGGCCAGCGACTGCGCGTAATTTTCACCCCGACTGCCGCCGAGTTTGCCCCAGTTGCAGGCTTGATTGCTGAGCAGCAGAAGCACCTGCTGGGCTTGTGGCGCGTGGTTCTGGCTTGCGCGCCCTGGTCGGCGGGAGGCACCGGCTGGCGGCGCTATGCCGACATGCGTAGCGCATGGGACCAAGCGGCCGCCGCGGCGTCTACCCCTGATAGCTGCACCCCACGTTTATTACTCCTGCTGACTGGGGTCCGAACCAGGGAACCAAGCTCGATGTGGTGATCAACAATGCGGGCGTCTACGGCCCCAGGAGGTGCGGTGGGATTTACCAACACCTCAACAGCACAGCCACAAAGGGCGACGGCCGCCTGCACCGCCCAAACCTGTGGGCTCTGCGCTCACACCGCGCACGTCCCTGCACACCCCCTCCCGCGGCGGGGGCCCGCCCCGTTGCGCGTCCTCAACATGTTGAGCGCGCGCAATGATGATGCACGTCCGCCGGCTAGCGGCCTTCTAGTAAGAATCAAGCACGGCTCGTCTTGTATCGGCGAAATCGTTTCCCTCCACACTCTCTGAGGCTCGAACCCACATTCAGTGCCCCCCTGCAACCGGTCGCCGCGTCAACCCCAGCCAGCAGCTGGACAGCATGACGCGCGACATCGTGCTGGACGTGTTCACGACTAACGCGCTGGGCCCGCTGCTGGTGGTGCAGCAGCTGCGGCGGCAGCGGGTGCTCAAGCGGCCGGCGCTGGTGGCCAATGTCACCTCAAAGGTGCGCTGGCTTTGCAGCCCGGGCCAGCGCATATATATGCGCACATTGGCACGCCCCCCGTCGGCTGAGCGGGACCGGGGAGCCGAGCAGGGGCAGCCGACAGCGTTTTTCCAGGCGTCATGAGGGTGGCTTGCGGGCGGCGCGCCGTCGCTCTCGGCCGTCGCTACTCGCCCGCCCGCGCGGAAACACCGCCTGCTGTCATGCCACTGCGCATCTAGTGAAGTCTCCGCAGTACATGTTTTCTCCAGCCCGCCCTTGCTGGCTGTGCCTCAACCCCCGGCCCTCGCCACACCGCCCCTTCCCCAACCCCCGCACTTCACTCTTACCGTCTCCCCCCTGCCTGCGTCCGCTCGCTCCACCCGGCCTCTCCGGGTGGCCGCAATCCCCCTCAACCCAGATGGGCAGCGTCGATGACAACACCAGCGGCGCCTGCTACGCGTACCGCGCCTCAAAGTCGGCCCTCAACATCATGACCAAGTCGATGGCCATCGACCTGGCGCCTGAGGGCGTCACGTGCGTGCTGCTGCACCCCGGGTGGGTCACCCTGGTGAATGAGGGGCGCCCTGCGCTTCCTGGGAGGCATGGGCAGGCGCGGACATCGCTTCGTTGCAGGTGGAGGAGCGGGCCTGCGTGAGTCGCGCAGCAGGCCGAGTTTGTGTGGTTGCCTCGCCTTTGGCAGACTCGAGCCCTTGGCCGTGCGGGAGTCGATCCCACGGCCCCACGCAGACGCGGGCGCTCACGGCCGGCCCCGCCGCTGCACCCCTCTCTACGATCTGTGCTCAGTTATGTCCGCACGCCCATGACCGGGGGCGCGGGCCTCATCGACGTGGACGCGTCTGTGGGTGGCATGATCTCCGTCCTGGAGACGCGGGAGCTGAGCGGTCGCTGGTACGCCTTCGACGGCAAGGAGATCCCGTGGTGATCTGATCAATGACCCGGCGATCTGGCGAGGCGGCGGGAGGCGGCTGCGCGGCGCCGTCTGGCGGCGGCGCTGCAGCCCGCAGAAGCCGCAACAGCGACAGGATGCGTTGGTGCTTCGGGGCTGCCTGGGCGCGACGCGCGGCTCCAGGCAGCGGGTTGGGTGGCTTTTGCCACGCTGCCGTGTCGTGTTTGGGCGCCGGCTTGAATGTGACGTCGTGAATGTTTGGTTACATCTCTTCAAGAATGAAGGCCAGGGTTGCTACCCATGAATGGAATCTGTTCAGAGCCAAAGCCTGTGAAGCAAATATCAGAACAGTACACGAAAGAATCACCACCGCAGGTTGCCATTGCTGCCGCGCCACAAAGTGCGTCGCATGCGCCAGCGACATCCGCAAGAGTGTGCTTTTGTGTGGGAGGGGCAGTGCTGCGCAGTTGCCACCTTATTTGGCGCCATTGCAAAGACAGACTCCCTGCCACGTTGCGGAGAACCGGGCGGGCTCTGAAGGGCAGCACACATCTGACCTATCGACGCCACCCCATTATATGCTGCCCACGCTGTGCACCCCTGCGCGCGAATCGCGTCAGCGCAGCCCCCACGCCACCAGCACAGAAGCTCTGACCAACGAGTGATCAGACGAGTACGTGAATTTGCATGGGGGTGGCGAAGGCGCGCCTAGTCATCATCGTCGTCCTCCTCGCGCACGTCTTTGGCGTCCTGCCCCCTGACCTGCCGCAGGATCACCTGAGGGGAAAGGGGGGGCAGGGGCGTGTGGGCGGAACGTCACGCCGGCGCTGCTACGCCTCAGCCACGCAAGCACGACCGCCGGTTCCGCCGGCCTGCCGCGGTTGCATCGCAGGCATTTATCCTGTCCACCCGGAGGGGTAGCCGCCCGAAACTGCTCTGGCCGCAAGCAAATCTATGCATTTGCATCGACATGTCCGCAATTGCTTGCTAACACACGTACACACACCAATACACATATACCGTCACACACACACACAGTCACACACACAGGCCAGACCCCACCTGGAAGATCAGGTAGGTCCAGTAGAGGTGCAAGAAGTACAGGAGCGTGAACATGGTGCCAAACGCTGAGTAGTGGGGCTGAGTGTGTGTGCGTGGGGTTGGGGG